TTTATGTATAATCCAGTAAAATTGTATCGCCGTATAGATAGTGAAAAAAAATTACGGGCAAGCTGATTTTTTCAGAGTTTGTCAGCGACTGTCTTCTGAGTGTAAAATAAACAAAATCGGAAATTTTCCCCTTGCGGTTTTTGAGCAATAGGGGTGTTTTTTTTTTAAACTGTACTACAAAAAAGTAATTAGACGCAAATTGTACATAAGAACATTCAGTATAAATTTGCCTAATGATTTTTTTTTATAAGTTTATTATTTCCGGACTTAGCGGCCGTTTCATGAGCCCTATGGGGTGGTTTTGAAAAAGTTTGTTTTACAGCAAATTGACCTGTATGAAAGTTGTTCATAATAAATGGGCAAGCAACTTTTCCTCATGAATTTTTTTTTGTAAGCTTGATTATTTTTGGAGATAGCGTCCAGTTCATGAACAAATTAGGGTAGTTTTCAATGTCACTCTTTTTTCAGCAAATTCACCCTAGAGAGCTCGTTCAAAATAAGAGTACATATACCTTTGCCTTATGAACTTTTTTTGTAACTTGACTATTTTTGGAGATAGCGCCCAGACCATGAACAAGTGGTGGTAGCCTTAAATGTCTTTTTTTCAAAAAAAAAATAATATTCATTCACTTGATGAATTCCATGTTTCGTTTTGGGGAAATAAATATATATCATAGGGAAGTTTGCATGTAATTTTAATATGAACACCTTTAAGGTTGGTAAATTTGTAGAACTAAACAAAAATTATGAAACTACCCCAATTTGTTCAGGAACTGGACGCTATCTCCAAAAATAATGAAGCTACACAAAAAATCATGAGGAAAAGTTGCTTGTCCATTTATTATGAACAACTTTCATACGGGTCAATTTGCTATAAAACAAACTTTTTGAAAACCACCCCAAAGGTCTCATGACAGGGCCGCTAAGTCCGGAAATAATAAACTGCATTAGACGAACTTATAGAGAATGTTCTTATGTACAATTTGCGTCTAATTATTTTGTTGTAGTACAGTTTAAAAAAACACCCCTATTGCTCAAAAACCGCAAGGGGAAAATTTCCGATTTTGTTTATTTTACACTCAGAAGACAGTCGCTGACAAATTCTGAAAAAATCGGCTTGCTCGTAATTTTTTTTTTGCAAATGACAATTTTGGTTTAGTATCTATTTTCCTATTATGGATTAGTATCTAATCATGTTGAAATTGGATACTGGGAGTGAAATTTAAGTGTAAATTGGTGACTGACCCCATAATGAGGGAGTTTCCTCATAAGACCCATCGTAAGCATCGTAAGGATCTCCATTATTCCAAAGATTACATATTACGGACCATACTTTAATTAAATGCTAAAAGTAGATCATTCTACAGATAACAATTATTTTTTAGTGTTTGATTAATATTTTAAAACGCAATCTAAATTAATTTTTAAATCACCTTTAAATAATAAAATCGTGAAATGATATTCCAGATAATATCTTGGAAATTATATATATTTTATCATATTATGATAATAGCTATTTATGTAACTAGTACCTAAAATGATGTTTTTTTTAGGACGAATCATTACTGTTTGCGGACGAGGCGTTAGCCGAGTCAAATGAGTCCTAAAAAACGCCTCAGACTAGAGTACGTGTTACATACACTATTTTGTCATACGCTTTTTACAGTTTTTTAGAACCGCATATTTGCAAATTTTCCATATTTGAAATTATAATGTTTGAAAAAGTTGGCTTATAAATTCATATCTTAGTAACGAGTTTTGTTTATTTCATCGCATTTTGACATGTCATTCGAAATTTGTCACAAAATCCCACACAAATTCATCAACAATTTTAAAATGTTCCAAAATCCCGAACATATGTGCTAATAAGGCCAAAGAAATCGTGTTGGATTTACTTCCTGTGAAGTCTCGTGCCATTTACCAGAAAGAATATGATGTTTTTAATGAATGGAAAGACAAAAAATGGCGTATTCGTTGTAAATGAAGATGTATTGCTAAAAATTATTTCCACGAAAAGTAAGTACCTAGGTACTTACTTTAAAACAAATAACTTAGCTTTTTGATATTGTTAGTATTTAATAATTTAATTATAAATATATGTATAATTTTATGTGATTTTGTGACAAATTTCGAATGACAAAATAAAACAACCAAATAACGAATTTAGACATTTTAGTCCATAAAGGTTGCCATGACGACCTTTACGGCCTAGGCCGAAAAAGAAACATTTTACGGACTGAAATGAGTCCGTAAAATAGCTGTTTTTGGGAGCGTATGACAAAAACACATTTAGTTTAAAATATTCAAGTATTTACATTTATACATTTATGTTCAATTTTACTTAACAATAATCTTAACCTATTGCAATAAATTCAACAACAAACTTATACACCTAGGTGCAAAAAGCAGTGTATAATAATAATCCCCCAACTTTTGTAAATTAATCTATATATCTATATATATATATATATATATATATATATATATATATATATATATATATATATATATATATATATATATATATATATATATATATATAAAATGAAAATTGAATATCGACCGTACTGTTTTAAAGGTTGTTTTGGATTATTTTTCAGGTTGGCGGTCAGTGACTCAAAAACTTATTTGTTTATGTCTCAATATTTCGTAAAATCTTTATTTACTTCATCAGGAGATATACTACAAAGTCAAAAATTCTAACATAAGAAAGGATCAATTAAAATACACAAAATTATACTTACAAAACTAAAAGTCAGTCGTATCTTACAATATACACATTCATTACACCAATAATATACTTTCAGTTATAAAAATTTGACGGACAAAACAGACCTACACTGCATGGTGTTTAAGTTACAATGAAACTAACAAAAAAAAAAACATCAACAATTAGACAAAACTAACAAACACTAAAACAGTAAAAGGAATACTTTTAGAGACGGTCTTGGTTATATTCGAATAATAAATATTTAAATTTGACTTGACTTATTACAAAGATTCATGAACCTTTTTGTTTATATATAGTTAAGAGGAAAAAGTGTTGGGGTTATGAATCAGGTTTGTGTTATAAATCAGTTTTTTCAAAATATTCCTCGGATAACCATTATTTTTAAAGATGTTAAATAGCTTATTTAAATTGTTTTGTATTAAACTTTTGTGTGATATATAACTCACTCTGTTTTTTTATGGCTCTTATAGTATTGTATTTTTGTGATGTAGGATGGTTGGAAAAGAAGTTAAGGTATCTACCCGGTTTTACAGTAGGTTTCTGGTACCAATCTAGTATGATTTCCCCATCGTCCTGTCTTATTAATCTTGTGTCTAAGAATGGAACGCTATTCTCTTTTTCACATTCGACCGTAAACTGAATTTCCTTTTCTCATTAAATGAGTTAAAAAATTTTCACTGTTAATTCGATGGAATCTTTGGGACTGCAGCAATAATGTCATCGACATACCTGTACAAAAAAGTAAATTTGAATGGAAATTTAGTTAGCACCTTGTGTGTGTTCTGTGTTGGGTCCACAGAAGATTGGAGTCATGATACATGACCAAAACATGACTACCCGTAGACACTCAGTGTTTCTGCCTTCCGGCTTCATCAATACGGGAGGAATCAGCAACGATGAACTAGCGATCCTGAAAAAAGAAAGAAAAGGAGAAGCAAACGAGGCACAAAGGCGCCATTTGCAGCTGGTCCGGCAGTAGCTTACAATTTGAAGCGTTACCACCGAAAAAACCGCCGCGGAGGCGTTCCAACACACCTCGCCGCTATCACCCTGGCCCAGAGAAAACAATAAACAAAGGATTATCGTGGAAACTATAAAAAAACGAAGAAAGAATTTATTGGGCAAGTCCACAGAAAGATTAGTCATGATACATGACCAAAACATGACTACCCGTAGACACTCAGTGTTTCTGCCTTCCGGCTTCATCAATACGGGGGAATCAGCAACGATGATTTTCATCGTTGTTTCCACGATAATCCTTTGTTTATATATATATATATATATATATATATATATATATATATATATATATATATATATATATATATATATATATATATATATATATATATATATATATATATATATATAATAAGTAATGAAGTGTACAAATCTTTTGTAATAAGTCAAGTCAAATTTAAATATTTATTATTCGAATATAACCAAGACCGTCTCTAAAAGTATTCCTTTTATATTATAATTGTTTGAATAATATTTGAAAAGATATAATTCGATTTTAAACAGGTTTTAAGATAGAGTTTCTTAAATATAATTCTTGTATACTAAGGTACATAACTGCTGTACCAATAGGTACTGGATAATTTCTAACAAGAAATAAATCTTATTTTTTTGGGTATTTGAATTGTTTCATTGGTTGATCCAGTTTCTCAAAATATTTAAGAGCTATACTAATTTTAGTTTCCATTCAATTAATACACTTGTACAAATTTTCTTATTTCAGTTTGTACTATCCTTTGTAAAGTATCAGCATATTTTTGAAATAAGTGGCGCCCTTTGGTATGCAGTGTAAGGTATAGGTGGGTATCATTTTTTAGTCAAGTGCAGAAGCAAAAGCTTGTTCCCACCGCCTCCGATATAAGAGTAGCCGTTCGCAACATTTTGACTTAAATTCTCAATAAAAGGAAAGTTTTTTGTCACAGTATGTTTGTTAAATATATAATAAAAGTAGTATATTTAATTAAATATTTGTATATCCAATTCCGTCCAATTCTGTAATTTTAAAATAATAAATCATGTTGTAATGTTTGGCTTTAATTTTATTTAATAATTGTATAAATTATACCGTTAAACCTTATTTTTTACACATCACAACGATACTTGTTATTAGTATTGTTGAATTTATGTCAAAAATAAGATTTAATTATTTAATGGCAGAGTCTTTCTTTTTCTAGGTATATTCTTTGAAGTTAACTCTTAACATAATTAAAAAAAAATAATTTTTAGATATTTAGTAGATTGTAAATATAAAATGAGTTTTAGTAAAGATGAACTTGTTGATATGATAATTGTGTTGGGCGAAAGCGAAAAAAATTGTTTAGTAGCAAGTAAGCTGTATACTTGTCGGTATCCCGAAAGAAGGCATCCTGACGAGGTTAGTTTTAAAAGACTTTTTGAAAGATGACTGATACTGGAAGCGTGTTCTATAAAAAAAGAACGAACAAAGCATGTCACCAACGAAGAAAATCAGTTAAATGTACTTTTATCTGTAGAGGAAAATCCAAATTCGTCTCAAAAAGACATCAGCGCAGCAACTGGCCTAAATGAAAGGACGGTTCGGGGCGAATATTAAAAAAAAATCGTTACCATCCTTACCATTACCAACGTCATCAGAGCCTAACAGAAAACGATTTTCAAAATAGAACGGAATTTTGTAATTGGGCAAGATTTAAAGTATAAGAAAGTGCTAATTTCTTTATGGAAGTTTTCTTTACCGATGAGGCCACATTTCACAAAACTGGTTGCGTAAATAAGCATACTTTTCATTATTATGCTACTGAAAAAAAATCCACGACTAATTACTAAGGACCGACCGATATCTCGGTCGCAGTGTCGGTTACACCCAAGTAGTACGAAATATTGGCTGCTGATTATTTCTATACTGGCACAATATTTATTTATTTTCGTTGGCATATCAATGTTGTGCCAATGATGGTTTGATATTGTATTTTATTCAGTGCATCTAATCTTGGTAAACAATATTGTACCCATATTAGTTTCTTAGTTTTCGCCAATATTGAAAATAATCAATGTCGGCCCATGATTGGCATTAACAATATTTTATTGTGACATTGGCCCAATATGCCTTTTATATTGATGTTTTGGATATTGGCATTTACTAAACTAAATTGGAACAATATTGACATGCATTCTGTTTACTATAAAATCGATACCTATAGTAGATATCGATACCTGGGTTGATACTTTGACATGTGGCTTGCATCCCTACTATCTCATGATTTTCATGAAAGTGTGCTTTTAAAATTCTTGCTCGATTTGTAAAGCGTCTAGAGTCTATCACGGAATTCACTTTGGTTTTCACATTGTGCGCATGTCTTAAAATTTCACGCGAACATTAATTTGTGATTGTGTACTTAATTTAAGTAAATGCCAATTTTTTTTGCGGTATTGTTGCTATTAGTCGAAACGATGACATTTGACATTGAAATTCGAATTTTGACTAATAGGAACAATTCCGCGAGAAAAAATCGCATTTCACGGGCATAAGGACTTAACTTGAGCCTGATTGGTCGGCACCAGATGTGCTGCCGTTTTGGTATAATTGTACTGAACTCGGTATAAAATAAAAGCGTTCATTACGTAAATACTACATTTATTTTTTTTTTTTGAGTGCAATAAAATAATGTTATTTATAAAGAATAATATAACCGCCCCCTCCGCCTCTTCTGCTTTTTATTCTAGCGAGAAAGTACTTGAAAATTATTTGATTTAGTACATTTTGGATACAATTTGCAGTACATTTTTAGTTATTGCAACAACTACGGAACTATGACAGCACTCCAGCCTACAGCACTGACGACTGGCGAGTTGACATGACATAAAAAGCTGTTGCTGTGACAGTGACATATATTTCGTTTGTTAGCAAATTGTGATTTTTGTGTTTTTATCGTGAACAAATCAAAGTAACTACTGTTGATGTTAGTTGAGTAAGTATGTTGAATAAACATATTTCAATGCTTAACAATTAACACGTACAATACAAAAAATATGTGCTATAGCTATAAGCTGTATTGTTTGCAGGTTCACTGGTACCTAGGTTTACAACCACAGAAAATTTTACTGAATCCAGCTTGAAGGATATTTCTTTAGCAAAAGTAAGTAGGTACCTAATATATTTTTTTTTTCTGTAACACACAATAGTATAATGTGTAATGTGTAATCGAGAGTATAATTTATTAGATTCTTAGGGCGCTTTGTTAATAAATATTTTTAGATTCGGTTTTGCTACTTAAGTAAATAAACAGACATTTTTTAGGTAAAAGTCGGGAAAATAATTCGGTGTTACGCTCTGACTGGACTGCAAAAACACACCTTGCCATGTACTTTAATGATGAGTTTTCCAAAAAGTGTGTAATTGCACCAATGCAAGGTATCTTGAACTAAAAGGGATATCACTTAGATTGACGCTTAATGAGGTCAAACAGTCAGGTTTTTTGGTATCGTTTGTTTAATGTCTTGTTTAAAATATCCCAGAATCAGAATGTACTGGGCAAAAACCACAAGGGTGGCAGCTATTGCAGATGTTATGACAAGAAATAGTTTTTTTTTCTGTAAGAAGTAACTTAAAAGTTGTAGTAGATAGTAGTATTTCACAAGAAGAACGGAAAACGGATAAATCTTGGAAAGTACGTTCTGTTTTAGAAAAAGTCAAGCAGGGATGTTTACAGTTACCAAGGGAAAAAGTAATAGCCGTTGATGAACAGATGATACCATTTACAGGAACCTGTCAAATGAAGCAGTTCGTTAGAGGAAAGCCAAATCCAGAGGGTTTAAAAAATTTTGTTGCTGCTGCTCCTGATGGACTTGTAGTCGATTTTGAATTGTATCAAGGGAAAAATACTTTTCCAGATGAAACAGTTAAAAGCCTTGGTGTTGGACCTTCTGCAGTCGTTCGCCTTACAAGGACACTATTTCCTGGAACTCATGTGTACTGCGATAGATATTTCACAACAACACCACTACTCGAATATCTGCATCAACAAGAATTGAATTGTACGGGAACGACCATGAAATCTCGTATCCCGGCAGCAGTACATTTAACTTCCGACAAAATCATGGCTAAAATAAGTCGAGGTAGTTCGGAACAAATAGTAAGACAATATGGCAAAGTATTGGTTGTACAATGGTACGATTTAAAATCTGTACTTTTAGCATCTACTGGCCTAGGAATGGAACCCACTGATGAGTGTAAAAGGTGGTCCAAGAAAGACTCAAAATACATTCAGGTTTCAAGACCTTACATCGTTGCTAAATATAATGATTGTATGGGAGGAATTGACCTGATAGATAGAATGATAAGCTATTACCGAATTCAGGCCAGATCAAAAAAATGGACTGTTGAGAGTAATCCTACATTTATTTGATTTATCCATGGCAAATTCATGAATTTTAAAACAAATGGATAAAAAAGTGTTTCAAACTTCTCCGCGAAAAATTAAACAGTTTTTGGATTTTAAGATCGAGATAGCCACTGATCTCTTGACAAATGAATGCAGCACCTACCAAGATAACATGCGAGGTATAGGAACCAGAAGGAATCCTGAAGGTAATGTTATTATGGACTCACCATCAGCGCCAAAAAAAAACTAAAACAACATTTTCCAGAAATTGCCTCAGGTTTGAAGAACTCGGTAAGATGCAAACATCAAAATTGTGCTCAGACATTTAAGTTTCATAAAAAATCGTTTAGTTTATATTTAAGTTTCCTAACATTACGTTTTTAAGCTTTAAACAACTTTTAACTCGAACATATAGTTATTTAGATTTTACAAAATAGTGTTTTTTTGTATAGTTTAAGAGCCAATGTCCATTTTAATGGACGTCATGTATCTGAAAAACGAAAAATAAAAATAAAAAATGTTACTTGCAAAAAATGATTGTTTGTGCATTTTCTATTAAATTTTAGAATCTAAAAGTTCCAACTCATAAAAAACAGGTCTGGGTCCCAGGAGGATAAAGCACACGGAAGTATGATTATAATTTTACTTCAGTATGCGTTGTTAATAACTATTATTAACATCTCATCTTGCATGTTATGCACTTCACATTTTCAGGAAACATTCAAATTAGGAAATTAGTTTACAAATATGGCAAGCTGGGATATAGTTTTTTTAAAGACAATACTTCTGAGTATGTACCAACTTCATGGGCAACAAATGCGAATAAAAATATGTATCTATGGCTCAAGAAATTATCTGAGATGCAAATAAAAAAGTTAAGGGGCATTTGTTCAAAGCCCAGCTTTTCTATTGACTCTGATGAATGGGATGGTATCTGTAAGGCTACCGTCTATAAATTAGAAGATGCTCAAAAGTTGGCAAAAAAAGCTGAATATACATCCAATCTATCTTCTGAGCTTATTGAAAACGAAATGGACAGTGACAATGATACTGTAGATGATGAAGAAGATAAATCATCAGAGGAGAACCTAAACTTATTACTACAGAAACTAAAGAGAAAAGTAGGAAATAATACAGTTTCAGACGATAGTCCAATTTCACAGAGACTTTGTATAGACAGCCTATCAAGAACTCCAACGGGAGTTAAAGCTAAAGATATAAACAAGTTGTTTTAATTTAAAATGCAAATGTTTTATTCAAATGTTTTATTTCTTTGTAGGGGCCTCATCATCGTCACAAAAAACACCAACTTCAGAAAACAGAAGTGCTTCTAAGACATCCGTAAAAATGACGAATGAAGGTAACTGATGGTGTAAATTATTAATTTGAAATGTGCAAATGTTTAATAAAAATAAAAAATAAAATCCTACTACGAGAAAATGAATGCGCCCGTGTGAATATCATGTTGATTTTAGATCAGTTTTGTTTATTTATTTACATAGGAATGATAATAAATAAAATTTTTAGTCATTTATGAGTTTTGGTGTGAAATAGTTTGAAATAAAAGTGATTTAAAATGCGTTTATCAACAACACAAAAAATTGAAATTCTTATGATGATTGGATATGGTGATAGAGAGCGAACCCAACCCAAAGGTGTGTGTTTTATTTAACAACAAATATCCAGATAGAACAATAACTCAATCAGCATTCAGCAAAATTGAAAGATAGTTTCGAGATACTGGTTCTGTAGAAGATAAGCAGAAGAGTTGACGTCCTAGAATCAATGAGGAAAACAAACTAAATATATTACTTGCAGTAGAAGAAAATCCCCATTGTAGCACTCGTCAAATTAGTCGCGATTATGGTGTTCCTTTTTCATCTATACACAAAGTTTAAAATTAGAAAAGTGGCATCCTTATAAAATACATTTAGTGCAAGAGTTAAATGAAGACGATCCCGAAAGACGAATGCAGTTCTGTCAAACCTTAATGGATATGTGCCATAATTTCCATCGTCAAGCTGAAAATATTACATTTTCAGATTGTTAAGTGTTATAATCTGTGGTGATAAGAAAAATGAAAAGAAGACTTGACAGTTTTTAGACAGGTGAGACAGATAGAAAGTAAGAACGTGGCAAGAATATGGCGCGAATAAGAAGTACCATTTTTGTTTAAAGTTTATGTAACTTTACTATTAATATATTAAGTTCAGTATTAGTAGATACAGTTTTGATTCCTAAACACGACCCAAATCCAACACAGATGAATCTACTTTTACGTTAACGGGGGAAGTTAATAGACAAAACTGTCACTATTGGACCAAAGAAAATCCAAGATGGATGAGAGAACATCACACCCAATATCCTGAAAAAATTAATGTTTGGGCAGGAATTGTCAAAAATATGTTTATTGGGCCCTATTCCTTTGAAGATACGTTGAATGGCCCAAGATACCTAATTTTTTTGGAACAATATTTAATTCCTACTTTAAAAAAATTGTTTCCCAGTGCTAATAATCCGATGATACATGACGAAAAGTTATGGTTTCGGCAAGATGGCGCACCACCGCCGTTCAAGTAAGGCAAAATCTCGATGATGTGGCATTTCCTAACAGATGGATTGAAAGGCGTGGACCTATTGAATGGCCACCGAGATCTCCCGATTTGAATCCGTTAGACTTTTTTTTGTGGGGCCATCTGAAAAATGTTCTTTATAAAACAAAACCTGAAACAATTGAGGACTTAAAAATTAGAATCGAATATGCTAATATCAGTTGCCAAACAACAAGTATGGGCCAACAGGATTTTAATTAAGTAAAGTAGATTTTTGTTTATGATATAAGTGGCATATTACCATATTACCTTGCCTCTAGCTTCACCCACCGAGTGGGGGTGAGTGGCACCCCTAGTTTTTGCATTGTGAAGGGGGTAATGGGAAGGGAGGACCCTAGAGTTTGAAGTTGCTACCGTAATTTCTGTTAATATGGCAACATGACAAAACTAAGAAAATTAGGAATTTTGACAAGCTGTCATGTTAACAAAAATGACACTAGCAACTTCAAACTCTAGGTCTATAATCTGGAGCGAGAGACCTTTAAAATAAGGTATCACAACCCCCCCCCCTCCCATTACAAAAACTAGGGGTGTCACTCACCCCCACTCAGGGGATGAAGCTGGAGGCAAGGTAATATGCCTAAAATGTGCCCCTTTTATAAAATAGATCGACGTGTTCGAGCATTTTTTTTAATAAAATCCCAGTTCAAGAAAATTAATTTATTCCGTACTTTATGTACACACTGTATGTATTTTACTTAATCGATATTTAATAAACACAAAAATATCAAATTTTAAGTAATCAAACCTATCATAACTTTTTAAATGATTATTTTCTGAAATGCAATTATCCCTGGAATGCAGTATTTAAATCTAGCGCCAAACGGAAGTAGGCGGACCGCCCGCCGCCATCTCATTAACTTCAGTCCGCAGCAAGTCAGTCCACGTGCGACGTTCGTAATTGATACAGTGTTTCTTGTTTCCGAAATACCTTATATTTTGGGTTAGTGTGTACCCCAGTTTAGCAGATTAAGAGTGTAGACTGAATATACATACTTCGTGATTATTTTGCTTGTATGTTTTTAACTATTCATTTTATTAGAGAGTCTGTTTCTTTGTTTTTCGTTTTGTTCTGTACTTTCTCTAAAAATATTTAGATTATTTCTTTTGTTAGACTCACGAACAATGGTTAGACAGATAAAGTTCTTCCTGTACGAAACCTGAAGATATAGAAGAAATGCATCGCATTCTCTACGAGTCTAATTCAAAAAGCGTTTCGGGTGACAGCGACGAAGAAGATGTCATTATATCGGATTTTAGAGAAGAGCCAGACGAGGATGGAATACGCGATGTTCAAGTCAATTCCACACATTCTCCTACAACAGATCAGAATCCGGATACCTCACCATCTGATTCAGATTCGGAATGACATATATGACAATATACCATTGGCAAAAGTACAGGCGACTAGCAAAGATACTGTGAACATTCTGCCAGTTCCTACCAAATTAAGAGGTAAAAATGGCTTTATGTGGTCAGGTAAGAAAGGTTTAATTCATCGTACACCAAAAAGAAATCTCGTTCTACATTTACCTGGAAACAGAAATGAGGCAAAGCATATAAAATCGGGAATCGAAGCTTGGAAATTATGTTTCACAGAAGAAAATCTAGATAAAATCACACGATATACTAATAAAGAAGTGCAAGTCCAACGATTGAAATATGCAAATAGAAACGATGACAGAGATGCTGATGTACATGACGATACGCCGAGCGAAACGTCATCGCCAGTAGGTAAGAGACCCTCTTGGACCAAGGATACAATGTTGAAATCCAAGCACTTTTGGGACTATTTTATTATGCTGGTGTTATGAAAATGTCCGGAGTACTTACCAAGGAACTATTTGATAAATACTTAGCAATACCTATATTTTGTGCTACCATGTCCGAGGCACGTTTCAGGTTTTTAGTAAACTGCCTCCGCTTCGACGATAAAGAGACCAGAGCTCAGAGAAGGGAAAATGACAAGCTTGCGGCTTTTCGACACGTATTTGAAAGGCCAATCAATAAAATGAAGAAGCTATATGTTCCTTCAGAATATATTACAATAGATGAACAATTGGTTGATTTTAGAGGCCGATGCCCTTTCAAAATGTACATCCCTTCCAAGCCCGATAAATATGGAATCAAATTGTGATGCTAAGACAGCTTTTACACTTGATGCTGAAATTTATAAAGGAAAGGGTTCCACGCCAGTCGGTGTTCCTGTCGCTCAGTATTACTGTGATAAACTAACCAGTTCTTTTCAAGAGACACATAAAAACTTGCCTTGCTGTTTGCAACAGCAAGGTTTCAGATCGGGCAGATCATGCACAGACGCGGTTTTTGTCATAAGACAGATAACAGAAAAATCAATCGAATATAACAAACTAGCGTATATGTGTTTTATTGATTTAGAAAAAGCGCTCGACC